CTATTTCGTATATATAAAGCCGGTAAATAAAGTGACGGAATAATAACAATAGAATTGCAGACAGATAGAGACGGGCACTTGAGTCAAGCGCGATAGTAAGTAAGTGCGTGAATCGTTCGTTGAGAATTATAGCGTGTGTTTAGTGTATTGCAAAGTTGTATTGAGAAAGAATAAACTAGTTGTACTTAAGAAAGGACTTGTATCGCTGAAGTTCTTCCGAAAGAATTTCTACGGAAAATTAATATACGAACACAGAGACGTAACAATATATTAAAATACACCTTTTTTTTTATTTTTTTACTTTCACTCAGAAATTATTAATGATAACTTCTTACCCTGGGTAGCGTACTTGCTCATCTGACGGTAAAGCTAGTATCACAGCTAGGGTGACACCCAATAACACCGTACTTGGAGTATCAAACATTCTCAAATATTTCAAGTCACTTTTCTCTGGATGGAAACGGATTCGCACACACACGTTTTGTAGTATAATATTCTAACTTGAACAGATGTCTTTTTCCCACACGTTTTGCTAACCCAGTGGTTCTCAACCATATTTGTTCGAGGACCATCTGGTTTCTTTTATTCTCTTGTCGGGCCACAATAGGATCTATAAAGGTGCTGCACTGACGTCAACACATCATGTGGTCTATAATTTACTCTGCCATATTGGATGTGAAGTGCATACGTGCGTCTTTGGTTTAAAAAATGACAACTTTCCCTTTTAATATTGTGTTATGTGGCGATGTACAGCCTTGGACGTTTTTTTTTTTTATAGCTGGTCACAGAACTAAAATCACGCAAATTCTGTATTTATATCGATTGCTAGAAAAAAAGGTTTGACGTCCAATATGGCGACGATGAATGAAACAGGTTTTGTGACGTCACGTGCATGACTTCCTTTCCGTCATTATGCAACCTCTCCACAAGCCATCTGAAGGGGGCCATTGACCCACCAGTGTCCCCGCGAACCACAGTAGTGGGTTATTATTATCTTCTGTATATGTTCACGTAAATATAATATCTGTTTTAATTCGAGGTTTTACTGGATTATTATTATTATCTTCTATATACGTTGATGTAAATACAAAATCCATTTTAATTCCAGATTTTGCTAGACTATCATTAGCTTCTTTATATTTAGTTTTTTTTTTTTTGTTTTAGATCAAAGACACAATGGGCTATCTGCTGTGTCGACGACGAGGAATCGAACACTGGATTGATTTAGTGCGTTGTAAGTCCGCTGTCCCTTCTGGGGACTTTATATTTAGACGTAAACAAGTGATCGATTTGAATTACAGATATTATAAAACTGTTGTCATCGTGGTCTGAAAACAAGGAAATTTTAATATATTGAGAAGAAATGAACAGCTAAATACGCATGTACAAAGCATGACGAAATGTACAATACACAGTTAAAACGTTACTTCTTAACATGAAATGATTAAAAGGAAAAAACGCGTTCACACACAAATTAACATGAACTGAAAGTATAACACCAACTTTAGTCAGAATTGGCGATGCAAGAAATATTGATTAATAGTTATTTGCATCCAATGTCAATATACTATATTAATGGTTAGCTTGCCGGGCTGCTGGTCGAAGGTCCAAAGTTCATGCTGCGATGCGGATGAATGATGCTCTAAACTTTCGGCTGTGGAAGAGTTATAAGAGTAACATTCAATTCCGTTATTCGGTTTTTAGCTGGACAAATTATTTTTGGCGGTGGAAGCTATTAACTGGCTCCCTTACCCTCTTGTCAGTTGCTCAATATTAGGAAGGACTATAGTTGGAATCTAGTCATATATCCCTCGAGTATCGTATGAGGTACTGTTCAGGTTAATATTAACAGCCACTCAGAGATATATCTATAAGTTATTTAGATCGAGGGTTGGGGTCTTTAGCGATTATATGGACTTCTTTAATGAAATGTTCAAGATCTGTAGATCTAATTGTGGTGAAGGTACAGCTGAATAGCGTGTGAGATTACTGTAAAGTAGAACACACAAGTTTGTTTGTTTTGTTTTTGAATTTCGCGAAAAGCTACACGAGGGCTATCTGCGCTAGCCGTCCCTAATTTAGCAGTGTAAGACTAGAGGGAAGGCAGCTAGTCATCACCACCCACCGCCAACTCTTGGGCTACTCTTTTACCAATGAATAGTGGGATTGACCGTCACATTATAACGCCCCCACGGCTGAAAGGGCGAGCATGTTTGGTGAGACGGAGATTCGAACCCGCGACTCGCAGATTGGGAGTCGACCGCCCTAACCACCTGGCCATGCCGGGCCCGAACACACTAGTAAAAGCGGGCAGTAACATTTTCCATTGGCGGGTCAGGTTATACTTCGAGGGCATGTCCTCCTCATGCGATATTGAAATGACCAAAACTGACTTGGTCAATTCATGAAAAATACGGCCCAGCATGGTCAGGTGGTTAGGGCGCTCGACTAGCAATCTGCGGGTTCGAATCCCCGTCACTCCAAACATATTCGCCCTTTCAGCCGTGGGGGCGTTATATTGTGACGGACAATCCCAAGAGTAGCCCAAGAGTTGGCGGTGGGTGGTGATGACTAGCTGCCTTCCCTCTAGTCTTACACTGCTAAATTAGGGACGGCTAGAGCAGATAGCCCTCGTGTAGCTTTGCGCGAAATTAAAAAAAAACTGACTTGGTCAGTTCATGAACACTGAGAAAAGGATGACACTAGAGTTTTGTTTATAGGGCTGTACTCTTCCAATTTGGAACGTTTTCTTCTCAGACAAGTAGCTGTATGAAGTAATGAATTTTAAGCAACCACGGAAACACTGTCTCATAGTTAAGTGAACTTATTTGCGTTTATGCGTTTTATATCCAGCAGTTTAGCATGCTAGGCTGTGGATTTGAGGGTCCGATGTTCGCGTCCCGTTACTGCCCAAAAAACTTTCACTTCAAACCTTGGTGCCCCAATATTAGAGTAATGGTGACATTCCACATTTCGGTCTGGCATAAAACGTTGATCATGGAATATGACTGAATTCCTTTCAATCCATTTGAATTCCAGATTCTTCTAGACTAATATTAGTTTCCTTATATTCAGACTTAAACAGCAAATATTTGACCGAAAAAGTAAGTCGGACCCCGAATTACATCTTATGGGTTAAAGGACTGTTATATGAGAGTGGTCATTTAACGTTTACGACTACAATCTCGCGTTCTATCCATTTTCAGCTCTATTTTAGGTATCAGTGAAAAAACGGGAATGACATAAATTTACAACAGTATCTGCTGTCTTGTAATATCTTATGGATTCATATGTCATACCATTTGAGGTGTGTAGAAGAAGAAGATTCAGGTTTGTT